GTCGTATCAGGTACTACTACTACAGATATGTACCCGAGGTAGTTTTAGGTTGTTTAGTATTAATATTATGTTTATATTTTTATATGAGGTATGTTTAGGGTTAGGGTTAGTGTTAGGGTTAGGGTACACTTCTGTAGTACAAGTCTGGTACACTTTGTGTATACATATATGTACCTCGGGTACATATCTGTAGTACCTGATATGACAACGACTCCTTGAGCGCTAGTGCAGGTTTGACTGTATATCTGTACTTTATACATTGGCCAAATTATACATCATTCAAGTAGAACTATGCAAAGAAATGGCATCTGGATAAGACAGGCTAAACTTCCAGATGAACTATAACTGTATAAGATCCAATTATGAATAGATGCTATCATAGGAATTAATTGGCTCACATCTTTATAAATGAAACTGAATCTGTCACAACACAGATACGAAAACACATTTTATTCTAAACGTGCTCACATGTGCATACAGGAGCAGATGTATTTATGCTCACATAGACATGCACACATCCACGCACACAGAAAGTATACGTGCACATATTGTAGTATATGTATGTACACATGCATGCATGCATGCATGCACTCACACCGTTGTGCATGTGCGCACAGGGAAGCAGATAATGATATACATGTGCCCGCAGATAGAAGCACTGGAAGCACAGTGCTTCCAGTAAATTTTGGGTTAAAAAATTTTGTTCCTAAATCTCTCTCGCAAGACTCACCAGATTGCATCTCCAGACGTCTACCATTCAAAAATTTTCAGGGGGGGCATGTCCCCACACCCCCCTAGCATGTAGCGCGCCTACGGCGCTTGCTTTTTATTATCACTGAGGATTTTATCATACAGTACGTGCGTGTAATACCTGCGGTAAAGATTCTCGCCTATGCAATATCTAGAGCTGAATATTGATCTCTCCATGATGGTTATCGGCCTCTTATGAGGTTCATTATACACTTGCAACCTCGTCAGCAGAGCGTAGGTTTGAAGACTCGATGACCATCTCGTCGGATCTTCGTGTGCTAATTTCTACAATTATAATAAAACGCCATAACCACGCACCACTTCTTGCCTAAAATAGGTATATTTTGGAGGTGCACACAAATATACGTCTATTCAAACATCTAGGTATACCTATTGTATTCTAGAATTACATTACTTACCACTGCCTTCTAGGCCCAGCCCTTAACACTCCAACATAGACGTGATTGCTTAAAACTGTTTAGGGATACAAAATGTTACCATTCAAAATGGTACATTCTAGTACTCTCAGAGACACGATTTACACATTATCAATTAAAATTTTTTTTAAATAGTATAAATTATATATTAATAATATATGAAACTAACATGTAGTGCAGGTCTACTTTAAATCCATAACAGCTGAAGAAATTCTATGAAATAATCTTAACAATTGGACTAGTAATTCATATAGCACCCAGAACACATAGCGACATACTTGGAAAGTTTAGTGAAAAAAACTTACTCAAATTATCTCAGACCTAAACTAGCTGTATCAACATTATAAATATTTATTACCAGCAGATTATGTCCATGTAGGTTCTGCCATTTCTCAACTGGTTCTGTACGTATCTAGAAACCATGAAGGAAAATGGATTGTATATAATCAAGAGCTAATAATACCTTAGCTCTTATAGGTATGTAAGCCTACCTTAAGTATACCTTAGCTAGGTATTATTACTATTAGCTCTTGATATAATATATAGAAGTTATAATGTACAATAACTGCAGTATAATGTAGCTGTTACATTTTAACATTTATAAATTTCCTAGCCAAGATAAGTGAGACGTTGTGGGATAATCAGCTAGTGAAAGACACTGGCTAGTAGACCAATTTGTAGGTTGACCAGTGAAGGCAAATTGTGCTGACATAAACTGGTAACTTTAATTTAAAAAAATACATCACTGCATCTGCTGCATATTCAACCAGCCGATACATACCTCAATATCTGGACTGTGGTTGAAATAGTTTAGGAATGTAGATTTACCACTGGCAATGTTCCCCTCAACAAAGACCTGCAATACACAACTAAGGTTTTGATCAGTGACATGATGCACTGCTACTCACACTATGTCGCATGTGTGGAGAAGCAAAAATGGAAGGGAATGGAGGAGTCTGATCAACAGTGACTAGATGCATGCTATTACCTGAAGTATAGTCAGGAATAAGATAAGATGTACGCGACTTCTTGATAGGCACAGAATGCACTGAACCATTTCTAAGTCCAATTTCAAATAAATATTGGGGAATGCATCTGGACTGTAGTTCTGGCTCGCTAATCTCAGATTAACTATTAAATTAGTTTGAACTCGGGGACGTTTTTTGACCTTTTGGCTCCATCAAGCATAGGGTATCTATAACAGTGTTGCTTTGGTTTCTGAATTGCAGTGCACCCAGTAAAGCTACTCGCATTTACATGAGGGAGGGTATTTGCCTTACATCAGTAAAAACTCCATTTCTATAGCAGCTAGGTGCTGGCTGAAGCAAATCAGGGTAAAGTCAGTCTTGGTAATAAGTCTGAAAATTCAGTTAGTTCTGATGTTGAAATTCTTTATTGCTATATATGCTATAGTAAAATCTGTGGAAATGAGCCAGTCCTGCTCAAAAGTTACCAGTCCAAGACTGGGAGATGAGCTTATATTTTCGATACTGGTAAAGTGCCTCACTATGGCTGAGAGGGTCTATGTTCCCCAGGGTACTATCGGAGGGTACTCTGGGTACGGTTCGATATATCGGAACGTACCCTGGTACTATCTAATATGCCGGACCGTACCTCGCCTACTCCACTAACGAGTCTAGGGAGTCGCCTACGCCTACTCCCCAACCCTAACCCTAACCCTAACCATATCAGATAGTTACCAGGGTACGTTCCGATATATCGAACCGTACCCAGGGTACCCTCCGATAGTACCCTGGGGGACATAGACCCTATGAGCCACACTATGAGCACAACAACAGTGACCTCAGAAAGTCTAGAACACATGACCTTTTATCCTTCAAAGTTATAAGTGTGCTATACAGTAGACCACCGAAGACCTCTTACACCTGAGAGACGTGGCTCACTTTAAATGTTCGGGTACGTGCCACTGGCTGTTGAAACATCACTCCTGCTTCTTGTTAGTGACTTCCTTACAGCAATCTCTTCACTGTCCATCTTCATCTGTCTTATCCAACCTAAAATCAGATTTATCATTGCTGGTGAATCAGGCATTTGATGAAATTTTTTTGACCTGGTTATGGAAAACAAGACACCACAGTCTTGGTCTAGGTAGTGTCCCTCAGATGTCCCATCTTTTAATTATTCATGAGATACAGCAAGAACTGAATTAATTTACCAGGCAATAACTTATGTGTCATGGGTTATGAATTTGCAGTCAGCGACAGGTGCCATGCTAAGAAAGCGGAAGACAAGAGTGGTAGCAAGCTGCGACAACTCATATCAGAGAACATCTTGTGAGTAATACCATAAAATAAATAAGTCATACTGACTGACCTTTATTCCTTATAGTATTCGCTTGGTCATGCAGTTTGTATTTGTACGTGAAAACTGACACATGACATCTCACATATATTATTCAATTGTAATGTTTCTTCCTTAAAGCTTTCCAGGGCAGGTTGTTCATCAAGACTGTGTTCCTGATGAAGTGAATGCCATAAAGGTGGGCTTGCATAACATGTAGCACATGTATGCTAGAGAACTGTCCAGTGATGTTGCCATGTTGTACATATATGTTAGCAAACAGCCCAATAATGTTGTGATATTATATACACATGCAGTGCTCGAAATAAGAAAAAAAATGTGGTTGTCCTGCGGACAACCCAGGCATCAAATCGGGTTGTCCGCAACAATTTCTGGTTGTCCCAAAAAAATATCCCCAAATCTCCTATTTTCAATTGCATAATAATATGGTCAGAAAACACCAAAAAACAGTGGTGTAGCCAGGATTTTTTAACAAGGGGGCCAAAAACAACAAACTGCGCAAAATAGTGGATGACTTAATATTTTAATGGCTCCTCCGCCTCCCTCTCCACATCATACGGCTCCTCTACCTTTTCTGCAATCTTTGTTTTGGGTGCCATGTGAAAAGGCGACATTTTTGTTCATTGTTCTCTGCTCCCAAGATATGTAATTGTTCAGTGGCGGATCTAGGATTCCAAGGAGGGGGTGAAAAACAAGCGGGGGGTATGGGGGTTCTCCCCCAGAAAATTTTGAAAATGTAGATCGCGGGAGATAGTATTTGCGGCACTTTTGAGTACATGTACAGCCTTCATTCTGACTACGACAATTCTCTTTTTTTTTAACTTTCGGATCAACATGAATCCCCACTGTTTGTTTTGCATGGGCAAAGCCATCGGAAAATTCAAAATAATAATGGAATAAAAATACCAAAATGTAGGGGTGAACTTGCTGGTAAAACCTGACATATACTAGTGTTGGAAATAGCAGCTGGTATGCGTCGCTTTCCCACACCATAGATTAATGGCGGGCCACCAGGCTATAAGTGCTCTTGGAGAACCCCTGAGAAAAACATAAATAAAGTGCGTTTTTCGTCAC